ACTAATAGTTTAGATACTAAGACACATGTTAGTCTACTAGTAAACAAACTTTAATTATACATTAGTAATAATAAGTACAATACTTTAAAAAAAAAAAAAAAAGGTAGGTTAAAACATTTAAAATTTAACATACTTAAAACAAATATTTTTGCAAGCTAACTTAATAAAAATGTAATGTAATTTTTCATTTTCTTATAAAACACATTAACAATACAAGTTTTCTATTCTACAGAAGAGATTACTTAACTAACTTGAGATTTCTAGTTTCATACGATAAATCTTACCTCTTCTTCTTCTTCTTCCGATTCTTCCTCAATTGGTTGTGACACAGTAGCTTTTGTGGGCTCACCAACATTCAACCCTGGTTCAGGAGCTTTGAATTTCTCTGCTGCTGCCATCTGTGCTTGCTGACTAAGATCTTCAATCTTAAACAAAAAATACGTACTGTTCAAAAAGATTTTAACTTGAGAATCCATTATACACTAAACTTCCTACAAACATTCTACATTACCAGTGAAACTTGAAGAAAAACAAGTATTGTCAAGAACATTTTAATAAAAAAACATAAGAAAATCATTCTCTGTTTCATTGTTTTTCAGGTTTTGGGAATATCTATGCAAATAATTCAATTTATTATAGAATTTTACAATATTGTAATTATTAATTGGAAAATTTTGACTGAAGAAGTCACTTTATAGAAAATCATAAAAATTCTTCTTACCTTAGCTTCACCAAAAACTATGTATGTGTCAGAAGCTGGACTTTTATAAACACTGGGTTTGGTGATTACAAACAAGATGTTTCTTGATTTACGAACAGTGACTCTACTAACACCTAAGACTTCCTTTAACCCAAGCTTGGACATTACTTTTCGTGCTTTCTTTTCACTTCGGCTCTGTTTAGATTTACTGACCATTTCTTCTGTTATACCTGCTGCCTGTGCCATCTGAAACATCAAACCACCATTCTCTTATAATACTTTCATATAAAGAAATTTACTAACTAAATGACTTAATACAAAAGTTTAAAAATTATTTCAGTATTAAATTTAGGCTAATAATCCTCTCATACATGGATAATTAACAAAAACTAATCAGTTTCTCATTGGTTTATTGGGTCCCAGAGGTTTCAGTCTCTTCCAGCTCTGGGTTAGAATCTTCACAGTGATAATCTGTTCACATTTGTGTGGCAAGATTCCATAATTAACAAAAACTCAACTGTTCCTGACTGGTTGATCGAGTTCCAGAGGTTTCAGTCTTTTCCAGCTCTGGGTTACGATTTTTGCAGTGATAATCTGTTCAGATCATGTGGTAACTGTTCCTGACTAGTTGAACGAGTTCCAAACTATCCCAAATATGGGATAGGATCCTCATTGTGAGAAAATGTTTTTGATTTTTCATAGAAGGCTACTCAAGGGCTATCTGCACTAGCCATATCTAATTCTTAAGTGATAAAAAACAGGGAAAGAAGCTAGTAAATACCATCCACCACTAATTCTTGGGCTACTCTTTACAAATGAACAGTGGGATTGACTGTCAAGTTATATCATCCCCACAGTTGAGAGGGCGAGCATATTTGGCAACTGGTTTCAATTCACGACCCACAGGTTGCGAGTCAGGTATCCTAAACACCAGGACACATGAAAATATGTCCCAAATTCATGTGCTAATATTCCGTAGTTAACAAAAACTCACCTGTTCCTGACTAGTTGACTGGGTCCCAGAAGTTTCAGGTTCTTCCAACTCTGGAACAGAATCCTCACTCTCAGAATCTGTCCCAGATTCATATGCTAATATTCCGTAGTTAACAAAAACTCACCTGTTCCTGACTAGTTGACTGAGTCCCAGAAGTTTCAGGTTCTTCCAACTCTGGAACAGAATCCTCACTCTCAGAATCTGTCCCAGATTCATGTGCTAAAATTCCAAAAAAAAAAAGAAAGTTATCTTAATCACAATGAAATAATTTTTTATCCCTAGAAATCATATTTCAAGTCATATATATTAGTACAAGAAAAATTTTAACTTCTGAAAGACACTACAATAAATTCCACAAATGGAAGTAATACTGAAGTTCATGATAACAAACCATTGGTTTTTTACCTTTAGTCTAGTAACACGTGCAGACTAGATTACAACCGATATTAATATGCTTACCCATACATGGGAAATTCTTAAAACTGTTAATGCCCATTTCATTACATACTCAGTGGATTGATACAATTACAAAGTTGTCTATGGTTGATACAAATCAATATACAACACCTGCTTATTTACACAAGCACTGATGTATTCTAAAAAAAGTTTTTATTTAACTAATCATTTACAAGTAAAAATAAATATTCTGACATAACCTGTCAATTATTTTTTTGTTTCCCAGTCTTCCAAAAATTCTGTTAGGTTGTAATTAACTTTTATGTAAATATAATAAAAGAACAATATACCTCAAGTAAACATTAAAATATTAAATATCTATATATCATGGTTATTCAAAACATATGCATCTTGAAATTGGTGGTTCATGTTAGTTTCTGCATCTACAATGCCTTTTAAGCAACATCAGTACTTTCAACAAAAAAACTGAGATTTTAAGTAATAATAATACACATCAGTAAAAACTTTGTTTTGCACATTAGTAAGAATAAGTTAAGTATATTAGAAAAATCACACAAAATGCTTGTGCCACCCACTCATAATGTCACTGACTTAAGTTCACACAGCCTAATATACAACAGTGATTACTTGTGAAAAATAAGCTACATTTCAAACAAGCCAGCCAGTCATTCTAAGATCTTAATGCCTTTCTTATCTATATTCTTACTTAGGTGGTCAGTTTTGATAATTAAAATTACTTCAATAAAAATGACCAGGTAGATACACATTCACAAAACCAAGTTTAATCTGTCTGTCATGTGTTATCATTCACTACACATTATCACCTAAAATATGGGTTGGCCTGTTCAGAGTCTGCTTTTGATCATATGAAAAACATTTATATTATAAGCTGAATTAATATTAACTTCTCTTCAAGCAGGCTACATACTCACATAAAAACTAAAAATCAACCCGGTAATGAGTGTAGCTAATCAAATATATTTTTTCTTACTTATAAATATTAGAATATATTGTTTCATCAATTGTGTACCTTTGCTACTTATGACATTTTTGGCCTTAAACTCACTAACATCTCTTAATGTTGGCCCGTTTAACAGCTTTAGGTAACATGTAACTTTAAATCCATGTACTAAGCTAACAATGCAAAGCAATCTCTATATTCATTCACTCAGAAATTCTTGTAATAAAAGTATAATAATAAAAAACTAGATATATATCAAATACTCTAACCAATACTGTTAATGAAATATAACATTAAAGAAAAAACAGTTCACTTACAGAACAAACAAACATATTTACCACATTCCAAACAAATGAATTAACATACGACCAAATGACACTTATGTGACATCTGCACACTTTTTCAGAGTATACTAACCAGTGTCATTTGTTTTCACCACCTTTTCTTGAACACTTTCAACTTCGGCAACACTGACTTCTGGCATGGTTTGTGTATAGATGGACAGTGTATATCATTAAATATGCAGGGAATTCTAATAAAACAAATGAAACATTTTTATTACCATAGAAGATACTGCAAATTAATCATAGAAGTGTTAAACAATTAAAATAGATCCACTTATTTCATGTTTAAACAGGCCATGCTTGTATTATCATTTTCTTTCTGAATAATATGATAAAAATAAATTTATTCTAACTGATAAGTAACAAATATTTATCCATTAACAAGAAAAACATTCAAAAATATAAAGCCTATCCCACAATATAAAACAGTAAGGTATTGCTATTACTGCTTTAGAATCAAATAAGCCATAAGGTTCTAAAACTTTTATCACTGCTTATATTTCCAAACTAAAACAAGTGCAAATTGTGCTTATGAAACACCCATGCCCTAACTTTGACCAATAGCCTTCAAAGGTTAATCAGGTCTAAAACTTTGTATGTAGTACCTGTTTTACAAGTTTGGTCAAAATTAATCCATCCATTCTTGAGATATCCTGTCCACAATATTGGGAAGAGCAGGGACATGTTATTATACCATGATGTCCATGCTCTTCTATGCAGTGGGGACTCCAAACAGATGCAAGCCTGAGTGAGGTGAGGGAAGAGAAATGTCCAGGGTCAAGTAGAATCAAATAAACCATCCTTCGTAAGCACTAGCATTGGAACAAAGGCCCATTCTTGACAAGGAAAAGAAAATACACCATAAGTGGAGAAAAAGAGTGGGAAGATATGCAGAGAAGTGAGTATCTATTCCAAATGAATTTGCAGGTAAGGAAAATTTAACTTCAGAATTGTATACTTACCTCTATGCACAACAGTAAGAATCCCACATTGATAATATGATGGTGATGGCCAGTGTGGAGCCAGAGAAATTACAAAAATAAGCTCCTTTCTGAAAAACTCATGGAGCATGTCACCCACTAATGGGGAATAGCAGAGTGGAGAATCACTAAGTAGAAGATCTTATCCTTCTCGTTCAGTGAATACTCTTCACCCAATAAGGGTGATGGAGCAAATGATATTGTCAAAAGATCCTTCTGTGTGGTGCTAAGGCACTGCAAAGGTTGACAGTAAGTAAGATTGCTTAACCAGCCATTATCTTTAAGGTGGTCGGCTAAGCACAAGTGTGTAACATGATTATGGCAATAAGTCAGAGAAATACTTGTGTGAGATACTAAAATAATCAGGTGCAGAGAGAAAATATACTAGTCCTGCATCCCAAGAAAAAAAGAAAGAACCATCTGGCTGGCCTAACTATACAAATAGCTTGGTTTGTTATGTAGTGGGATGACCACAGTACACTTCCAGATAACACTCCAGTCTTACTTCCTATCAAGAGGCGTGTTCACTAAATCCTATACTATAGGAATTACACCAACTTGATGACGGAACTTTCCATTTTGACCTTCACAATGGCTTGGAACTGGGGAAGCAAGAATGTCAGAGAGGAGCTCTACCCGAACAAAAATCATCACACCAACATAAGGTCCTATACTGACAAACTGTGAAATAGGTTACCATGAATAGATACAGTAGGTATAAGCTAGGTGAGGCTAATGTTCTTTTTTCTTAAAGTATAGTATATATAGACACACATACATTGCTAGAGCAGTCTTGCAAAAAAAAAAAAACAACACATCTCAACAGTTGGCATTGAGCAGTAGCAGATTGGCTTAATATTTTGTTACCCCCCCCCACAACACCAATTTTGGGGGAAAGAATTATTCTCCGAGAGGCAACACCAGCCACTTGATGGTTCCACTGTCTCCGTAATGCATTTTATTATCTTGAATACGCTGTTGTGAAGCCTGTTTAACAAAAGGAAATAAAAAAATAAACAATTCACCTTTGGAGAGCCACTGCAAAGAATGGAGAATGATGAGTGGAGGGAGATTGAAACCAAATAGTAGATGAAACGACAATGTGGTGTAAGTAATGTAACAATAATGTGTCAAGGACTGCCACACTCCCACCTACAAGATTTCATACAGGGGACCTCAATGGGTAGGGGCAAGAGAAGCCACAAGATGAAAAACTTGATGTGAGAAGACCAGAAAAATGTAATCACTCATGGAAGAATAAACTAGTTAAAGAGGAAAGAGAATTTACTGGAGGAAGTGAAATTCCATGGCAAGAGAAACCACTGTCAATTGCCTTTGAAAGGGACAAGCGAAATAATAATCAGCCTCTATAGGAGAAAGTATATGACCTGGGTTAGAATGATTGTATAGGAAAGAAAGGAAAAGAAAGTTGAATGGAGGAAACATCCAACCACCCTCCTGAGCATCCTAAGATTTGGAAAGGAAAGGGTAGTCATGGAAGTTTAACTCACCCCTATGGTAATTAGTGCACAAAGTGTTCAAGGTAAAAAAGTGAGAGCAATAGCTCCTGCAAGTGAGAAGAAGACAATATGTCTAAAGCAAATAAAGAGAGACTGAACCACTCCATACACAAAGCTTCCACTAACAAACTTGTAGAGTCTAGAACTGGAGACCAAACAAGTGGAAGCAAGGTGTTGAGGGGAGTTTAAAGCCAGCAATGACAGGGTCCCCATAGTAGGAGCAAATCCACTGAAAATACCAGAGGATAGAAAGCTCCTGAAATATAATAGCTCAACAATTAAATATAGTGGTTGTGGTCCTCAAAGAGAAAGTCAAGAGCAAGGAAAACAGAAGTCGAGATGTCTGAATGGATTATAAAAAGTTGACCACGCAGATGGGACAGAAGACGATGGTGATCTTATTGAGCAGCCAACATCTCAAGGACAAAAGTATAGAGAACCACTCCTTTGGAGACCAGATTCTGCAACTAGATCAGATGCTCAGGACAACTCCCTATCAGAGCAAAGGTACTGGTTAATAAGTTTTGTGTGTAGATCTGGTTAGCATCAGGTACAAAGCTACACAATATGCTACCAGTGTGGCACTCACCACTGGTATGGAAACCCAGATGTGTGAACATTATAAGCCCTCAGACAGGAGGGCTCTAAACAGATGCAAGTCAGAGTAAGGTAAGGAAACAGGAATGTAAAGGGTCATGTAGGATCAAATTTGCCACCACAACAGAGAGGTGTGAAAAGAAGACAATTGATCTCTGGATATACTACATCAAAGGGGAGCGTATATGAGCACTTGCAAGAGGAACAAGGGCCTCAACTGGAGAGTCTCCAAACACAGAAATCCTCACAGAGAAAAATACGGAAATATGAAATCTTTAGTATCAGACACAATATGTCTCAAAAATGTAAAGGAGATGGCTGAGTTTGCCCTGCATATGAATTGAGAAAGACCCCCCAAATGAAAAAGAGATACTGTGTGGGGGTCAAGGCAAAAAAGGAGAGCCAAGCCAGCTAGCACAATGAGATGACTCTCAAGGAAGAAGTGATGACACAATAGTGGATGCCACAATGGATGAGACAAGTAGAAATCAAATGTCCATAAAGCAGTAGAACAAAAGGCTTAAAGAATGCAACGTCCAATAAATAGCCCATCCCGCCCTCAATGAAAACATAAAGGACCATAGCCAACCCAAAGGAAGAGGTTGTAAACAGTATATACGAATGTTGTGGAAGAACCAAATGAAGTGACAGGTGGATGGCCAAATCACAATGTGGAGAAAGTATCCGAGACATCACTATTGGTCATTCACATACCAGAAGAGTACCCACCTCAAAGAACAACATTTTTTCTATCTGAAACCAAGGAACTAACAAAATTAATTCAAGTGGGACAGAGCTATGACAGTTCACTAATCTCTCATCTTCATGGGAATAACAAAATGAAACTCCAGAATGGTGTGGAATATTTCCATGGTGTTATAATCAGGTAAGGTGGAGAGTGGAAGGATAGGAAAATACATTGACAAAGCACCCAGTATTCTATGGCAAAAAAGTACATAAATGTACAAGGTAGAAGACCTGAATTTCCATCAGACTAGAAACAAGTACCTCCAAGACTCACCAAATGAGTGCTAGCTTGAAACATCATCCTTCTTTAAATAAAAATATAACAAAACTTGGCAACTGTTCAACCTATTCTTTAATTTCAATGCATTGAGGTTTGACAACATAGCTTATCTTGACCCCAGGACCCTTTATGCTAAACTAATAAATACATGACCTAGCAGGGGAGAATTTACTATTGACGAGCATACATAACAACATGGCAAACACAAGTCTGTTGAGTGTATCCATCACCAAAAAAGGTTCTTGTGGATTAGGATCAAAAACTAATTCATTCCAAATGAAAACTTATCCAAGTACTTGTAGATTTACTTGGCGAATGAGATGAAATGGAAGAAACCATAAAATTGTCAGCAACAGAAAATTCAACTTCATCAACTGAGGTGTTGCAAAATAATTTGAAATTTCTGTAATTCACTTCATAGAATAAATGTTGATGGTAATTGTATTCATGGTTCAACATGTTGTATTTTAGGTGATCAAAGAACTGGCGGTATTTCCGAAATGTTTTTTGCAAAGCAATTTGAAAAATAAAGTAAAATATTTATCTACTGGCCTACCCATACTTTAAATCAGTTTAGAGTTATAGCAAACAAAACAATGTTAAAAGCCTGGCTCTAGAAGTATAATTTGAATGGGAATAACCTTATTAATGTTATGGAGAAAAAGATCTTGGCATTCTGGTTCTTCAGTCTCTTCAGCCATCTAAGCAATGTACTGTTGCTAGTGGCAGAACAAATGGGATTTTAATTTGTATGTACAGAAATATTGAATACTAGTCTGAAAAGGTTATAATATCATTGTATAGGTCATTAGATAGGCCACATTTTGGAGTGGCGTTATCAGTTTTTGGTTCCTTACCTTAGAAGGGACATTGGATTGTTGGAAAGGGTTCATAGGAAGACTTATTAGGATGATATCTGGGATGGAAAAGTTGTCATACGAGAACAGGTTAAGATCCCTGAAATTGCTTTCTCTTGAAAAATAAAAAAAATAGAGGGGATCTGATTGAGGTGTTTAAGATTAAGGGAATTGATAGTGTTTATGCATTGTCTTTTTTTGTTAATAGTGGGAATGGTCAAACTAGGTGATACAAGTATAATTTTTAGCATTATAGAAGACATTTTCAGCTAAGACAGTTTTATTTTTCTAACATGATAGTTGGCCTTTGGAATAGGTTTGCAGTCAGATGATGTAGATGTTATTAATTTATGTGAGCTTAAGGGAAAGATTGATAAATATTTGATTGATAAGAGATAGTCAAGCTAAATTCTTAGAATCAATTGACAAGTAGAACAATGGTTTGCACATAACCTTTAACTATAGCGTTATATGTTATTTTAATTAACATGTTTGTGTTGTTGTTTGGACAGAGGTTTGATTAGCATGATGGGCATGTGTTAATAATTAAAAACCTTCTGGAAAGTTTAGGAAATGATTTGAACCTTATCAAATGTGCATTAGGCTAGAGTAGATGTTTAGCGATTTGAAAGTCTGTTAGTTAGTTGACAAGTAATCAATGCAAGACTTAGGTTATGTGTTGTTCTCAGTTAGCCACGTTCTGTAAATTTTAGTTTTGTGATAAACAAATGCCAGCAACTTTGATTTTGGTGGAATAATTCCAATCTTTAGAGCAAGGTAATGCACTTGGCTTATCACAATATGGATTACACATTCAATAGATAATCTTAGCATACTGGTGGATAAGTCACCGAAATCCTCAAAACAGTGCTTTGTTGCTAGTATTAAAGTTAATACAATTTTAGGTTATCTTATACATTTAAGTTACAATCTCTTAGTTTTTCTCTTGAGAAAAGAAGTAACCTTACTGGCATTTACAAGATTACCCAGGGTATTTTTAAGAAAAGGGCCTCTGATATATTTTTGCTGAATTCTGATGGTAGTAAAACAAGTGGACACAAGTTTAACCTTTGGAAATGGCAGGCTAAGCTCCAGTTAAAGCAGACTTATTTTTCTAGCAGGGGATTGATTCATGGAATAAGGTGAACTTGCAACTCCCTGAAAAGGGTGGGTGTAGAAATAGAAGGACAGTCAAGAAGAGCCAAGTGGTTCCTTAGTGTCTCTGTGTTATATTGCCTTGTAGGATTAGCTCTGAAGCATTACCTTAGCTTTAGTTTATTGCTCCGGCCTAATGACTAGTAATGTTAAAATATAAGTTGTAAGCAAAGAATAATAATAATAATAACAACAACGATATTTATATTTTAAATATAGTCATGAGAACACTAGTACAAGATAGGTTCGGCCTGGTTGTAAACATTTCTTTTGAATTTTAAAACAATGGATAAATATAGTCTAATTTTTTGAGTACCAGTACACTCAAGTAACACTAACACAGTAAATTGCATAACTAGTAGTAACAGGAACAATGCGTTAGCCTAACTACACAAAACCAGAGACCTTTCAACTAAGTGTAAAAACTGTAAAACATTAATAATACGTATATTAAGAGTAATAAATTAAAGAGAAACAAGAGACAAACACTATTATAATACAAAACATAAATAAAGAAAAATAATATATTTCTTACGGAAATTACAACCTACTGCCCTAAAACTCCACACCACGAGGTTATACGCACTTTTTACAAACTTCCGTAGATGGAGCTACTATATGTTTCTCGACCTACAAATAAACGGATAACGCATGCGTCGAAAAACGTAATCTACAAATAAATTCGTTCTTCAACCATTGTCTTCCGTTTACTTATTTATTGGATTCTGTGGGCCAGTGGTTAACAAGGCGAACTTCCTACTATGGCAGTTACTCACTATGCTGTCAACTCTTTCCTTCTTCTTTATCAGTTGACTTTAATACCAGTCACTCTTAATCGGGCACTAGTGAAAGTGGGTTTTCTCGGGGTTCTCCCGTTTACCCCGACATCTAAATCTAGGAATCGCGTATATAAATATCCCGCTGCCCTGAAGGAACATAAGTCTGACATTGGCCGTTGGTCTATGTTTAAATGTAAAATGTGACGTCCGAGGTTTTCTCGCCAATTTTTGCTTGCAGCCACTTCCTTATCATTCTGCTCTTCAAAATTATCACTATTACTTTTTTTTTTTCATGTAACTATTTCAAATAATCTCGAAATGAACAGAAATGTATTTCTGAGCACCCCCTGTTGCGTTTGACCTAAATCTTTCGGTTTAGAATCAAACGTTTTAAATCGAAATTACTACCACGACTTTTGTTTTGGTGGTTAGCATTAACACGTTCGCATCTCGTTACCGCAAAAAATAAATACGCCTCAAACTTTGGTCTGTAGGTGCGTTATAAAGGAGCTGCCAATTCATTCTCCTCGGTCAGACGATAGTAGCCCAAGGATTTGTGTGTTTTTTGTTTGTTTGTTTTAAGCTTTGTACTGTCAGTTGCGGTTTGTGTTTTAAAATAGTTTAAAGCTCTGGCACATTTTCAGGCAACTCTTCGTAAGGTGGGTGTACTGTTATCAGGTCCACCGGCAACCGAAGTTCCAGACCAAACATCAGCTTTGCTGGAGTTTATCCAGTGGCATCATGCTCTGCTGTTCTATAGGCCATCAACGGTGGAGGGAGTAAGACATCCCAATCATCGTGGCGGCTATTACAAAACTTTGCCAATTCCTGTCCCAGTGTCCAATTGTATTTTTCTACCATCCCATCAGACTGTGGGTGATGTGGCGTTGTCCTGGTCTTTCATATGCCAAACAACTTGCAGCATTCCGATAATTGGAGAAACTCAGTCAAGCGCTAGCAGCGTTACGTGACTTCCGCTGTCGTAACAATATAATACAATGGTGAACGATAAAGCACTCTAAACGTATTGCTGAACAGGTTAGAGTGCTGATCATGAAAGACTGTAAAAAAATTTTACATTTTTTTGCATGAAATAATAATAGTTTTATAGGGCCAGGCGTTGTATCTGGTAAGAAGAGTGTTTGGATTGAATCAAAAGAGATTCCTTAAATTTCCTCTTAAGAAAGTTGTAACAAATATCTAAAATTTTGATCCAATAAAGTTTCTCTTTAATTATGCTGTGCGATTTTATGTAATGTTCAGCGTGGCTTCTTTGTTGTCAAGGGTTGCAGTGGTAGGAAAGTGTTCTCTGAAATAAATCAAACGATCATGTACTGAACAACTGGATTCAGTTACATATGTGGCTGAACACTGTGTGTATGTGTCATTTCATATACAGTGTTCTTAAGTGTGAAGGATTTCTCTAAGCCATTGGTCTTAGCAAAGAACTTTTTTGATTTATTGAATTATTGTTATTGAAGGATGAACAAGTAAGTATATCCTTCAGTTTTATACCGGGTTTTTGTATAATGTGGATATACAGACCAAATCTTCTAATCTCTTGACGAAGACGAGTAGTTAAAGGTTTCCACGAAGGGCATAATCCATGAAATTGTGTTTCGTTCTGGTGGTTTCTTTTTTGCTGTCGTTTGTTAAAATCTTGTGTGTCAAAATTGTATAATGTTTTAGCAGCGTACGTACGGATAGTCATTGAACAATAGAAGCTTTTAAAGTTTCATGCTGGGTTGCATCTTACTATACATGGTGTTGTAGATTTTTCGATTTTAATAAGTTGAATAATAATGACACCTCGTTTGGTAGCTGGTGGATGAATTGAGGTATAGTGTAGAATAATAGGTTTAACACATAGTTTTGGATATATAGTAGGAATATGTTTGCTGTTTTCATTGGCGACCATGGCACCAAGAAAGGGAAATTATCCATATAGTAAATGTGAGATTTATGTCGGGGTGTTGATTATTAAGGAATTCAATGAATTCCAAAAGAGAAAAGAGTCTATGATTCCATATACCAAAAATGGCGTCAATATATCTGTTTCTACTAACTGGTTCAAGATTAGTTTCAAAATTACAATGAGTAAAAGCTGATGATTTAAAGAAATGCATAAAAATAGAAGCAAAAAAGTCAGCAATATTGTTCTCCATAGTGATTCCTTTGGTTTGTTCATAGAAAGTTGAACTGAATTTCAAGTAACTATTGGTGAGAACAAATCTTAGAAAACTTTCGATAAGTTCTACAGGGGTATTATTGGTAGTAGAATGGGTAGTCGATCTAAAAAGATTCATAACCGAGCTTATGCTTTCTTCTATGAAAATGAAAGGCTGAATTTTCGCATAACCTGTTCAGAAAGTCATCAGTGCTATTTGGATGTGAAATGATTTAGTTGAGGAGAATGTGACGTAGTTTATCGAGTATCCAAGATAAAGATGCTAGCCAAGAGTTGCAAATGGAGACGACGAGTCTTAGAAGTGCGTCAGATTTATTACATTTGAGTAATCTATACAGTTTATGGGGTTTTGAATGAGATGGTCTAAGATTGTCTAGAAGTCCTACGGTTATAGTAGATTTACTTTTAAAGTTCTTCAAAATGTCTTTTGGATTTTTTCCAGTTCTTTAATAGCGTTTTTGTTAAATGGTCTATAAATAGATGTATCCTCGTTATGTACCTTAATATTTTCTACGTAAATGGATATATTTATTGAAACAAAATCTTTATACTTTCTCTCACTTTCACATTTATGTGGTCATTCTTTTTAACTCATTTATAGCTAATTGCTCGTTTCTTGATAGATTGGATGTTACATGAAAATTATTAAAGACATTTAAAATCAGTCAACATTGTTTTTAAGTTTCTTATTAATACTCTTTTTTTTCGTAGTAGGGCATGCTTTGGGAGGTATAGGTTTAAGAAAATCGAAAAGTACAAGAGAAAGGTTAAATTGTGATTCGTCCACATTGTTATCGGAGTTAGATATTGTTACGTCTCCGTTCGTTAGTTGAATTTCCGTAAATTCATTCCGACGAAACTTTACCGACACAAGTACTTTCTTAAATAAAACTGGTTTATTCTTTCTGAATATA